TGTTGAGCTTCTGTATGACTCCATAACAGCACTCATATAATCGAAGTAGATGGAGAAAGGAGAGGTCCCTCGCAGATCTCCAGATTGAATTTCGGCTTCAGGTCGTGCAGCCTGCAAGTAGGCACAACTCGCAGAGCCCAACTCTCTAACACGTGATGCGGCTCCCTTGTAAGCGCTGCACCGAAAGAGCCGCGAGTCTTGCGTGGCACCACTTCCGTCCATTACGGTCAGTGAGTGGCACGATTGTCTTTGGAGACAGCAATTGGCGTCAGAGACCCAAACCCATTAATTAGGAATGCGTAGATCGCAAGCTTCGGCGAGCGACCGCGAAGACTAATTATCCATGAGACATCCAACTAGTAGTAGTGGGTTGTACTGCTGGAGCTCGTCGTCGGTCGCCGTCAGCAGCTTTGGGGTGGGACACCTGGAAGGGGTCCTAAGCTGAGAGCCGAAGCTCGTCTATCCAACTCGCAGACAGCCGAAACATTTGACAGTCAAACCCGACCGCTGCCAAGGCCTTGCCATTAATTGTCAGCGGGAAGCCTAGCACATTGCGCCGATCAATGCGCGTATCTGTTTGGCAGGATTCTCGCTTTAACTTCCAGTTTCAAGTTTGCACTTGCAACTCATAGCCACTCATTCTCCTCCCCTCTTCTTGTTAGTCATGCTTCAGGCTGGTTCGATAAGCTGCCGCTTGCAACAGCCTCTCGAGACGCGTAGCGGAAAATACAGGAACTGCGCCGATGTTTGCTTGCTTTTGTTGGTCTGCAGTTGTACGGCCTCAACCTCCGATTGTTTTTTTAATGCATTGTTTGTGTTTTTTGGTTTTGGTTTAGCAATGTGTTCTTGTAAAGTGCCAATTCTCCGAAGCACTCGGATCACCAATCACCGAGAAAACAAAGCTATTCACGCATTCTCTCTAGATAATTGGTTTGTTGGTCTCGTGCTTCATCTTTGGTGTTATGCGATTGCGCTCTTGTTCCCTACCATATATATATACACATGTATGCATGCATGGATGGATGTATGGGCGTGCATGCATGTATTTATGTATGTATGCATGTATGTATGTATGTGTGTATGTATGTATGTATGTATGTATGTATGTATGTATGTATGTATGTATGTATGTATGTATGTATGTAACTTTCTTTACAATGTATAACTACGTACAGAATTAATATGCGTATGTATGTGCGTATGTATGTATGTTGCGTTACATGACGTTATGTTATGTTGTTTTGTGTTATGTTATGTTATGTTATGTTATGTTATGTTAGCTATGTATGTATGTATGTATGTATGTATGTATGTATGTATGTATGTCTGCGTATGTACATACATGTACGGTTACATATACAGATACACGTATCTATCCGTCGGATCAGTAGATACATGTTACCATTTGCCACTTGCGCAGTGCCGACAGCCACTTTCTATTGCACTCTGCACGGCCCAAAAATGTGGAAAGGAATGAGGAAGGAATGTGGATATCCATCCGTTCCCGACACAAACTGCGGGTTTTAACATCAACCCAAGCGAATCCTTGTTTCGAGTGGTGGGAGAATGGAGCTATTGAGCTCCCACTGCCGCAAAAAGGAACGCCCGGAACTGACCGAAAATGCCTCGGAATGTCTTCGGCTGCCAGTGGTTTCCAAGTCCTTCTTGAATATGACAGTGCTTTCTTGAATGCAGTTTTTTCTTGAATATGACTGTCTTTTCTTGAATTTAATGTCAACCTCCATAGTTTGGGGAACAGATGAGTCTCGCGTTCCTTCCCTATTCCTTTCCATGCTTTTTGCGACCCCCTCACCGGTTGTGATGTGAAAGCAATGCATTCAAAACTAATGGTACTAGCCAAACTTTAGTGTTTAACAACCCCAAGACCATGCATTCCAAAAAGGATCGGGGCAATCGCTTTCGGCTGTGTTCGCACAAAGACAGCCCTAGCATTCTGTGCGTGTTTGGGCTCTTCTAGACACATGCTCAAGCATTGTTGCAAAAGATGTCGTGAGATCCCTGAGTCAAGGCAACACGTAAACCATCGCAAAAATCCAGGCTTTGAGGCGCAAAGACCGGTGCACTCCCACTAACTCCCAAGTGCCGCTGGGCCTTGAGACCTGCCGCTTGGGTTCACGTCCGCGTCCCTTTGTCCGAAGCTGACATCAGTGGCTTAGCCTCGCTGCTGAACGGAGCTGCTGCAGACATCCCTTCTTGTACGAGTTCGTCGTTGGGCAGGATTGGCCAATCCTGAATATTCAGCAGATGCCAGAGAGCAGTAAAACCCGCTTGTTTTCTGCGCCACGGTTGACTAGGAATCTCTAACACGCCTTCTGGCTCTTTGATTGGGTTCCCTTTGTCAGGAATCGAATCGTGTGTTCAACATTGGTAACTTGCTTGTGTCTGGGTTCCAGTCTGTCAGCTTGCTTTCCGCATCATAGGTTTCGATTGGATTACGGTGAATGCTACAGTAGTGTCTCTCGGCTGTAGAGGCCGGATACCTAGTCGAACTGATGTGGGCCTGCTGTGCGAAAGCATTCTCACAGGAAACGGATTCTACTTGCTAGTTGGATTGAATGGTAAAGTTGCAGAGCCATGGACGATTCCGGCATTGAAGTGGAGGGGGATGAAGACTGGCGCTGCTTGGCCAGCACTAGCGGTTGATGTGTACTTCAGCAGCAGATTGCGAATGAGATGGGCCAATGCCATCTACGAAACCAGACCAGCGGGATAGTTGCACCGTGTGCTGCACCGGCGATCTTCAACTCAGGGTCAAAGCTTCGCGCTAGCGAAGCTGGGAATTGAAGCTCGTAGAGGGCGTGGACCGAGTGATTTTGTCCTGTAATGTGGCGGGCTCAATCAATAGAACCCCCCCCCCCGACCAAAAGGTTTTGGCTTGAATCATCTGGGATCCGTGACCTCCTGGACCAAGGTTCGGTAGATCTTGGGTTGGCTTGGGGTCCGGGGAATTGGGGGACCCCAGAAGGCTCAAGGGGGATTTAGGGAATTTAGGGTTTAGGCTTCAGGGCGGTTTCGGGTTTAGGGTTTAGGGAGAGTGTGGGGCTTCAGGGTTTTAGGGTTTCAGGGGGGTTTTGGGTCATGGCTGCCTGAAGATTGTCCATTAGCAGAAGCGAAGCAACACAAGCAAAACATTGCCAGGCCCCCAAAGCGCATTAATTAGGACACCCATTGGAAGGCACCGGCTTGAATAAGGAAAAAAATGCACTAAACAGGCACACTGGTCTGTTCGGGCCTCCGCATTATAGGGGATTCAGTGTGAGGAAGTTTGTGAGCCATGTCTGGGATGTGTCGACTTTTCGTTACAGCTTCTACATGTTGAGCTCCGGGGTAATTATTGCTCGGTAAGTGCTGGTTATCAACCTTTCTGCTTAAAGCCTTTTTGTCGGTTCCTCGGTCTCCATGACTTGGAAAGGTTACGGGCCTCTTGGACGGGCCGGTTCCCAGACGCCGGTCGAACCTGCGGCAGAGGTGCCAAGAGTCTCAAGTTGCACTTTTTCGAGTTTGCTTTATCTGGAGTTGTGCACAGAAAAGAAAAGTTCTGTAGTTGTGACTTGTCACGGAGGTTTCTGCAAGTGCCGGCTTCGACGATGAGGAGGAGTTGCGGGGTAGAGGTGTCCTTCAGCTTTGGCGTGCCTTCGCTCGAGCTGCGTGTCCGGAC